GTATAAGTTTCATCCCTGTGTGATCACAACTCACTGTTCTGTATGATAAATAAAAGAACATTGTAACTTGAAAATCAATAGCGGGTCAATTTGACCCGTCTGGCGGTTCTAGTGTTAAAGAACATTCGGTACCACTTTACAATAAGACTAGCCTTATAAATGGTTTACGAATAGTTTGTAATTAATTAGGTTGTGAACACTTTATAAATCATTAATAAGCTTTTATAAGACATGAGATAAACAGGGCAACTGTGACCGGTTGCTTGCCAAATAGTGAGCCCACATGTATCTGTGCTGATAAGTCTTATATTGTCTACCTCGTCTCCTTCATCAGCAAGCATCCTTGGTATCTGCTCACTGAGTTGATTGTCTCCAAGTAGCAACTATAAGGCTTAGTCATCTTGCCAAATAGTGAGCCTGTGTTGATGTATGAAAACTATGTTAGAACTGGTTTATAATGGTTCTTAATGATTAATAAAGTGTTTACAACTTCATTAATAACCTAATTATGAACCCTTTATAAGGGTAGTCTCATTGTAAAGTGGTACCCATATGTTTGCTATTAAGTGGAAACCTGGACAATAGCATGTATTTTACATAGATGGGAATTTTTTTTGGGGGAAAACTAAATCTTTTGGAAAATAGTAAAAAGATGACCAAGTATTATTTCTACATTGTTAATTATAAGCTTTTAGGGAGTGTTTGGCCATTGTTGGTCCATCAGAGGCTCTGATTGGCTCCCCACAGTCACATGTCCTACCTGCAGAGGAAGACGTAGCAGTCCTGCGTGTGGAAGTGACCGAACTCTTCCTCAGGCAGGCGGGCGAACTTCTTCCCCTCCAACACAAACCCTTCCATCCCGTCCAGGTCCTCGTTCCACTCCTCCATCAGACCTTCAGCCTGCACACAGAGGGAGAGACAGTGAGACAGTGAGACAGTGAGACAGTGAGACAGGTGAGACCTCAGCCTCAAAGAAGGTCTTCAGGTGTGAGTAATTCAACTACTAAATGAGTTGGTGCAAATGAACATTTCATTTGTATTTGTTCCGTTCATGGTATGCACAACTTAAAGGTGGGGTAGGTCATTCACTTCAGAAACACTTGTTATATTCCATGGAATGCTCTAAACATCCCGATAGCAACGAACACATGAAATGCTTTGACAATAAATCCATAAATGCTGTGGAAGCCGTGGCGCTGTAAAAAGCACAACCAATCATCTGAGCGAAACACAAAAACGTCCTTACTTAGACTTAGTCCCCACCCCCTCTTTTTTTTTGTTCCATGCAGCCATGCGTAAGTCTACAACGGCGCGTACGCATCCGGATGGACGCGATGGTCAATACAGTGGGGACCAGATATACCCCAAAACTACCGTGACTAATAAGCTAAAAAGCTTATAAGCAATGTCAGAGGTATTAGACTTTATAAAAAAATTAAGTTAAAATAAATATATAAAATAATAATAATACAAAAAGAAAAAAAAAAGGACGAATAAGTTGGTTTTATTCCCTGATTACGATTTTTATCATTATCATAATTATTAAACATTTACCGGTAACCAGTGTGGTAGTCAAACGAAAATGACATTTGAACCTCCTCTGGTCGTCGCGTCGACTCGACGATGTGTGGATTGGGCGGGGGGGGGGAGAGGCAGTGTGCACGCTAACTAAATACCCCTATGGTCTTTGTCACTTTGTGTTTGATTGCCTGGTTTCGCCCATGCAAGTTTCTTCTCAGGGAGCACCCTAGATGAAACTTACTGTTCCACGTTTATTAAAAAAAAAATACTACGATGTTTTTTTCATAAGAGAGGGTGCACCCCCCCCCCAACCCAGACGCCCGCTTCTTACCTAATTATAGCGGTCCCGACAGGCTAAACAAGCTTAAAATCTAGTACAGTCAAAGAACCGGTAGGGACTCAGATATTGTATGGAGACATCTACATATGGAAAGTGACTGGGAACAAATGTAAGATCGAAACTGTTTGTCAAAGGGTCGTCACCCTAGTTATTTCAGGTTAGTTAGAAGAAGAAGAGGAGGAGAGAGGAGGAGAGCGAGGAGGAGGAGGAGGAGGAGGAGAGAGGAGGAGAAAGGAGTCCACAATATTCAGATTCAAATTCTTTGACCCTACTGCACGACTCCACCTATGTGGTCTCGTCGACTCTGGCAGGTCGTCTTTCATGTTGGACTCCCCTTCCAGTCGCTAGGTTTCCCAAAGTCTAGGGTAGGGTTGACCAACCTATAGCACGAGATTTCGCGACTGTACAAAGGACACTCGAGGACGGACACAATAGTCACTACTACCAAAGAGAAAGTCCACTTCTTCCTGCGTCTCGTCTTCCTAGATTCTACTTCCGCTGAAGTGGCGGGAGAAGGAGGGGCCGTCGGCGGGTACCGGGAGTGACTCCATTGTTGTACCGATAACAATAACAACAAACAAAGAAGGGTA